CCCCCTGTCACGCTGATCCCAGTGCCGGGAGGATATTACCCTTTTACTATATAGAATAGAGGCCTGGGGAAGGGGTAGGGAACGCCTGGTTTGCCCTGAAGGTGGTCCTGGACCAGGGCGGGGTCCCCCACTGGGGTGCCTGACCAGTCTGGGTGAGGGGCTGAGGGCTGTTTTCCGGCTGGCGGGTGATTAAAGCTCCCAACTGCTCCTTTTTTTCTTTTCTTTTTTTTATTCTGGGCCAGCTTTAGCTCTGAGGCCTCGGCTGCTGAAAGCAGGTTTCTGGCCTTTGTTTTTCCTTCTGTATTTGATACAATGTTGCGGTCCGGCTGGCTGAACCTGGCTGACTGAAAGCCGGTTTCTGGGGTTTTGTTTAGCTTCTTATTTGCAACATAGTACATAGTTGCTTAGAGTTGCAGCTGAGAGGCCGGCAAGTGAGGCGGGGAATGGGGAATGTTGGAGTCCGCCGTCACTGGAGCAAGCAAGCCTCCCTGTTCGCTTCAGTGCGTGGCTGCCGGCCGCCATCTTGGCTGACAGTTAATTTGCATAAGGATATGCTGATTAGCCAATGGGAAGGGTAGCGGTTGTATGCTAATTACCATGTTTCTCTTTTATTAGTGTAGATTATACAAAACAAAAAAAAAGAAAGTGAGGGCCTTGCAGCTTAAGCAGCTTGTTTAAAGCCAGCGATAAGGTCCATGGCAGTGCCTGACCTAAGTACATGCCATGTCCTCTAGCCCACATGACCTTCAATGGATGCCTGCAGACCAGCACAGCATTCTTGATGGCTCTTCTCAAAGCAGACCAGTTCAAATGTCCCTTTCCTCAAAGCCCTATGCCAGTGGGCCCAGACCTCAAGATGGAAATGGCTAAATAAATTGGGGTACTGGACCTTATAAAATAAATCCCGTTGTGTTCAGCACAGCCACTTTGACCTCTTAATATTATTAACCTCCACAGAACACAGGTTTTGTGGCCATAGTTGCTGTAGTAGGACTACGCTCTATGCTCACTTAACCCTGTGGCAAGAAAAAAAACACACACACGCACACATAAAAACAAAAAACAAAGAAACCCAGTCTTCCCAGTGATGGGAAGAAACTCATGAGAAGAATTTGTAATAACTGCAGCTCTTGGTTTCTAAAGTTATCAGAGGCCTCTAACAAAACATATTTTAATTTTTCGGATTGTTTGCAAGCCTTTCACGTTAGAAACCTCCCTTTAGGGAACTCTTTTCATCTTGTCCCAGTGGAATGTAAATGATGACTTCATGTGTTTAGTGACAATGAGGTGAGGGAAGGAAGAATATCACACAGTCACCTCTGAAATGCCCTGGTCAGTTATTCTGGCTTAGCCTCTTATTAACAAAAAAAGTGAGTAAACCTTTCAGGCACTAAAGCTTGATGTGCTTTTCGGCATACCTGGCAAGTGCAGGATAAATGCTTCCTTGGTATGGATTTGAGCAATCAGTGATTCTCAGATAAAAGAGTATAGCCCAACAGCAGACTACATAAATAGCTGTTCAGAAACTGAGTCAGGTTCCAGCTAATGCTCTTGTATTTGCACATCTCCCAATCAGAAAGGTAAAAATCAGACCCTCCTTTTTTATTTATTCCCCTGTGTTTCCTTAACCTTTGTTTTTAATACTAAGCAAGCAACCGATGGCCCTCGAAATTAGAATTTATGCCATTGCTGCCATTTTTTACTTAAAGAAAACTGGAAGATGACATGTCCTTAAGGATAGTGGATGCTAAGAAAACCAGTGACAGCACAGGCACCCAGGAACATCAACAAAAAGCATGGATGCAATGAACAAGGAGGTTAATAACTTCTCCAATGGGAAGCATTTCATGATGCCAACCGCCCTAGGCGATCAATAAAGAGCTTGATCTAGAAATGATTATTCAATTTTAGGTCTGTAGGATATATAATAACTAGCCTGTCAAATGTTTTTTTGTTTTGTTTTGTTTTGTTTTACCAATTTGTTTGAATTGTCTTTAGACACAATTCAAACTCAAAATGTCTACTTGACTCTGTTTTATAAGCTGAAAAACACCCAGAAAGCCTTTTATTTTCTTAACAAAATGGCACAGTATTATTTAGAAGTTGGAGCGAAAGCTTTTACTGCTCGGCCTGTAAAAAGAAACAGCACAACCCAGCAGAGTCGCTGACAAGTGACACAAATACAGTCCACACTAATGTGCAGAGAGAAACAACCTTGAGAATTTAAAACCGGCTGCAGCAGAAAAAAATATCTTCATCCAGATATGCGGTCCCTTATGAATTATACTATTATTTTAGTTGATTTTACCTGACATCACCCTATGATTTTCTTCAGTGACAAGAAAATTGCAGCCGGCCCTTGACAGTTGGTCACAAATTGACTGCACAAAACAAAATAAAACAGTGAAGTAATCCCCAAGTAAATTTAATGAAACCTAAATCCCAAAGGGCAGCACGCTTCTGTAGGCAATGGTCTTATTTAATAAATTTCCCCCTGCTTTCACTTTTAGAGCTATATTTACACAGACAAATTTAATTCATTTGGGTTTACATTTCCTCTTCCCCTTAGTTTGTCCACCAGGCACATATGGGAAGGACTGTAAACAGGTATGTCAGTGTTCGGCCGAGAAAGAGGACTGTCACCCAGTCACGGGGAGATGTACCTGTCTGCCCGGCTACCATGGAAACCACTGTCATCTCGGTAAGTGTGTTCTCCGCTTTAGTTGTAACTTATGGAAGAGACGCCGATAGAGTGGGTCATCATTTGGAATGCTAAAGAGCAAATGTGAATTCAAGCTTCTAATTCATGACAGATCTTATGGGAATTTTTATTGGAATGGTTGAAAATATAAACTTTTTTGTGTAATTTGTTCTCTGACTTTGCCTTTTCCATTAAAATTATCTCCCTGAAAAGAGTCAAGAAACAGATAAAGAAAAAGAAATAAATAATAAGACATGAACTGATTATTATAAATCAACGTACAGAAATAGCAATATACGAAAGTGATATATCAAGTAAGTTCTAGGATCTGCTTAGGAACAATCAAATTAAACAAATTGTTATTCTGGAATGAAAACAATGATTTGCTTAAAGGATAAAATGCCAGTTGGCTCATTGTTATGTAATAAATAAAAGAATAGTCCCTAGACCAAACACCTTATATTGATCTCTTAGGAATTTTAACATTGAAAATGTTTATAGGAGAACACACAATCAAAAGTCCCAAGGAGCATGTTAAAATGTTCAGTCAGCTACTTAATTTTTAAGCTTGTAATTATTTGTAATGTACTTTTTATAGGTTTAAGAATAAAATGATTTGGCTTCAGTTTCATTTTTTTCCCCAACTTGGCCATCGTCACTCTTTTCTCTTAGTTGCTCCCAACGCAGATTCCTTCTATTTTTCCTTTCCTAATTTTGCTAGTATGTGGACTGATTTCTGGATTCCCTACCCCTTCAAATGCCACCTATGAAATATACACTCATGGTCAAGCTATTGATTTTAATTTTCTGCAGGCCACAGAATGTATATTTTGAATATCACTTCTCCTTTTTTGCCCTAATTTTAAACATTACCAGCTAAACACACAAGTGTGTATGAAGTGGTTTCATATAGCATTGTGTTTGGAATCCATAACCACTACAGTTATTCAAAATGAAGAACTAAAATATAAAATTATTAAAATTTTAATTATTTCTTTTGGTTATGGTAAATTTTAAGCACACTTGTAGTAGAGAAAGAAATGATTCCCTCACACTTGATTCTGTCATATTGCTCAGGAAGAATTACTTCAAGATATCAAGATATTTTATGTTAATAAAATATTATCAAGTTACAAAAAGCAGATAGCACTTTTATTTAGAAGGCAAGGCAAGCTACGTTGGGTTGAAGGAGGGTAACTTCGCCTTGTAAAAGCAAGGCTGAGGCAGGGAGCTGCTCCCTGACTAGTCAGGTTGGCTTAGTTCCAGGCAACACGTGGTTGGAAGTTGCTGCTAAGGTTCCTTGGCAACATCCACTGTAATTACAGGACTACGAAAAGGGGTTCAAGAAAATATTCATAAAAGGTGCAGCTGGCTCAAAAGCAAAAGTTTCAGCAGCCAAAAACAACTGGGCTTTCATGTTCTCAAGTTCAGATTGGAGGATCCAACTTTTCTCTTGGTAGAGGTCAGAGGAAGCAGACAAATGTGCAGTAGGAATCGTACCACTTGCCCATAATTTATAACGGGCTGGTCAGTTTCAGTGCGTGGATAGCATGCGGAAAAAAACAAGCGTCCCCAGGAGATGCAAACTCATCATGCTGTGTATTTTTGGACCTTTAAGAAATCATAAAGTGACTATGGACCTTGGAAATCTTTTATTTTTGTAACCTGCAGTACTCACTAGGTATAATGACTCTCTTTGAGAGAATTTAAGGCACTGAGGTCCTCTCAAAACATGGGCAATTCTGTTGACAGTATTCATAAAGCACCCTTATACTTGGTATCGAATGTTTGGAGAAAAATGGGCCACAGGAGAGCTCACCTGTGCCAGGAGATGATATCAAGATGTTGATAGCAGTCTCGTTCTCATGTTCTTCTTGCTCATAGCAATGAACATTTACAGGCCAAATCAGAGTATCTCTTTTAAGTGTAAAATAAAAGTTCACAATAATGGCTAGTGTAAGTGTGACTTGTGAGTAATCTGGTCAAGTACTAGGAAATCAGACCCTGTTCAAAACAGATTTATGCATTTTATCTGCTTCAGAGCTATGACTCAGGATATAGTCACAATCTTGCTTGTTCCAAGTTCCTAATGAAACTACAAAGGCATTTACATCATCATAGTATAGAGTCGCCTTTAATGTTAAACAAATCAGGACTGTGAATTCATATTCAAGCTTCTTCCTAGTCAAGCTGCTTTAAGGAGAGGGGATGGTACAAGTGTGTGTGTGGGGGGGGGGGCAGTCACCTTTTAATAGAAAATAACTGAACATCCCTTGTCAGAGAGACAAAATTTCCCGGGAGAAGTGGTTGTAAATGGCAGACCAAAAGCCAAGTAATGATCAAAATGGAACTTTAGGAAATGAGGGAAAGGAGGCTGAATTTCATGCAAGCAAGTCAAATAAAATCATTATGTTCTGGGCATGTGTTTCCTTGTTCACTTTATTGAACATTTGAGCAAGGGATGTGTGCCTGATTCCAGAAGACACATTTTTACATAGCTACAGAATTATGCAAGAAAGTGGAATTGTTCATCAAAGTACTTATTTTTGAGGGGAAAAATAGCTATGGGCACTTCTTCTGTAAACAAATACCATACTCTTGATACCACTTTAATGAGTTGTGGGACTAAGAGGTTAGCACATATACTGTCTTTCAACAGATGGTGGACTCATTAATTTGTTCATCAAATTCAGTGTCCTATTTCAAAAGGATAACTAAATTGAAGGCTAAAAATCAGGTAATTTTTTCTCTATATATATAAAATAACAAAGAAATGATTTTATCAAATGCTCTACCACCATTAAGATAGTTTGCAAAATGGGTATACCTCAGAGGGAAATTATGTTTCCAAAGTAATTTTGAATCACATAAAAGTGATCTCAAAATATAGAGATTTACATATATCAGATATTTAAATTTATCATATAATTATATATAACCTCCCCCCGCTTCCAACTGAGATACTGATTCTCTGATACCCATAATTATATTCACAACTTAACATTTTTCTCATTAACAAGTTCATAAGTTTCACTCTATTGGGGGTTGCTCTTTTCCTTATTTGCACAAAAATCCATGTCACCGTTCACTTCAGAGTAATGTGACTCCAGAATTTTCTATGCTAATCAACTCTTATTAATTTAACCCCCTTTGTGGAGGCAACATGCCAGCAGTACACACTAGACTTCCTTGTTTCAAACCCCATGCCTTCAACTTGCTCTCTCCGTATGTACTTCAATATCAATCAATCAAACATTTTTAAAGTATCACACATAGTAATGGTACAAACTATAAAAATTTACTTTCTAAAAGACTGACCCAGAAGGACATGAAGAAGAATATTTTATCTTGGATAATAAGAGAAGAGGAGGAGATGGAGACTTTTTTAATCATTAATTTTGTTTGTAGGCTCATTCTATTGAATTTTTGTGAAGGAGTTAAAGAATTTCTTAGAAGGACTACAGAATGTTGTGTACCAGAAAAGTGTCAATTAGCTATAAAAACTGATATCCCTTGGAAGGAGGGGATGACAAAAGGGAAGGTGAAATAAACTCGTTCATTTTTATAGAGAAAGGCCGCCATCTTGGCTGACAGTTAATTTGCATAAGGATACGCTGATTAGCCAATGGGAAGGGTAGCGGTCGTACCTCCATCATGGAGAATTTTATTTTAAAACTAGAGGCCCGGTGCACAAAAATTTGTGCACTCGGGGGGGAAAGAAAGAAGCAGCCACTTTATGAGTCTGAGATTCAAGGTGAGAACCCTGGGTGTAGAACAGGATATCTGTAGGAATTATAAAAAAATCTGAACCTCTAAGAAAACCATTTTTTTTTACTTATACCTCTAAAACTCTGATACATGTGAAGTACTTAAAAATGTTCTTTGCCATCTCATCCTATATAATAAAAGGCTAATATGCAAATAGACCCAATGGTGGAATGACCAGTCGCTATGATGCACACTGACCACCAGGGGGCAGACATTCAATGCAGGAGCTGCCCCCTGGTAGTCAGTGTGCTCCCACAGGGGGAGCACCCAGAAGTTGGGCTCATAGCTGGGGAGTGCAGCAACAGTGGCAGGAGCCTCTCCCTCCTCCGTGGCAGCACTAAGGATGTCCAACTGACGGCTTAGGTAAGACGTCAGTCAGACATCCCCCAAGCTGTCAGTTGTACATTCCCCGAGGGCTCCCAGGCTGCAAGAGGGCACAGGCCGAGCTGAGGAACCCCTCACCCTGAGTGCATGAATTTCGTGCACCGGGCCTCTAGTTCTTACATAAAAATACAGAATGAAAGAGAGGGAAGAAAGAGTCATGTTGTCTAGTTTAGTCACTTAGAGCTATGCTTCCAAGGAAAAGATTTTTCCAGGAGAAAGGACCTAAGGCAAATACTAAATCACTTGACTCAGGTCAAGTAGGTAAGGAAAGGGTTATGCTACAGGCCCACCAATGATCCTGTCACTATCAATGAAAATAATAGCTACCACTGACTTGGTTGATTTATGGGTTTGGTAATGTGTTAGATATTCTATTTTTTCACTCTAGTTCCCACAATAAGCCTGTGATTTTGTTGTTATCCCCTTTGGAATGAAGAACCAGAAACTCAAAGAAAGGACTTACTCAAGGTGGTAACACTCAAGGTGGAAGATACAGGGTTCAAATCACAGTCTATTCCAAACTTGCTATAGCATTATATTTTTAAATATATGACAAAAATAAAGAGAGTTATCTTCAACTGGTGACAGAATGTTGTGCAATAGATATTTCATGTCTATAGGCCTCAACTTTGTCATCTTAAAATAAGAGTTGAACCAAATGGAGCTGAGGTCTCTTGAAACTCAAACTTCTATAATTTCAAGACTTTAAAATTTTCCATAGAGGCTATACCAATTTACATTCCCACCAGCAGTGTATAAGGGTTCCCTTTTCTTTGCATCCTCTCCAGCATTTGTTACTTCTTGTCTTATTGATAATAGCCATTTAATAGGTGTGAGGAGGTATCTCATTATGGTTTTGATTTATATTTCTCCTATTGGTAGTGAAGTTGAGCATCTTTTCATATATCTGTTGGCCATCTATATGTCTTCATGGGAAAAGTGCCTGTTCAGGTCCTCTGCTCATGTTTTAATTGGATTGTTCTTCTAGCTAAACACCCCCAATCTTTCCATCATTGCACAGATAATGGGGTCTTCAGCTCACTCTTGGTCCTGTCCAGTCTCCCTTTATCTTGAAATATGGATATTTGTCTAAAATTTCTATCACAGATATCATCATGGTAGGCTACATGTTCATGAATGTGAAAGTAGAAAGCTGAGAAACGAACAGAAAATAAAGACACTTCCTCTATGCTATTTTGAATTCTTACTTGTATTATACCCAGATCGTTCCAGGCAAGACAAGCTATAACACATAAATATTAATCAAAATAATAAATTTATCTAGGCTGGAATGAAATAACCTTGTTTGGTAAATTGTCCCCTATTCTGATTTTTCTCTAAAAGTAAGATTTTCAAAGAAGTTCAAAGTTGTTCCTTATAGCTTATTAATTAGCGGCATCAGGAACTTTATGTCCTCACCTATATTCCTATGGCATCTAGATCATCACATATCCTCAGGTAAGTCCACGCCTTGAATCAATAGCTGGAAAGTACCAAAGAACAGTAATTGGAATGTTGAGTAAACCACATGTCTACGGGCATAAATTTAAACTGATCACTTCAAGTAACAGTAACACATATGGTTTGTTCTCCTTTAACAGAATGTCCAAAAGGCACTTATGGTCCCTATTGCCAAAGGACTTGTAAGTGCTTGAATGGTGGCAACTGTGACACCATGATTGGCACCTGTGACTGCCCTCCAGGCTTCATTGGGGCTGACTGCAGTCAAAGTAAGTCACTCTACCTATTATGAAATGGAATGCTAAAGCAGAATTTTTAAGACCCACACTCAGGAAATAGATATTGTTGCAGTTATTTTAGTTAATAATTTACTGTAGCAACAGCAAACACCAACTGACCTAAATTCTAAGCTGAGGAGCACTTACATCGGGAGTTTGATTTAGAGCTGAAGTCAATGAAGGCAGCCAAAGAGAGCCCTTTGGTCATAACTTCTCTTGCCCTATCAATGCCGGACTCACAACAGGATTTAAAAATCTGGCAAGATCAGATCAAACTGGGGATTCCTGTCTATACAATGTCAAATTCATTATCTAAAGTTCCACAATGTCATTTATGCTCAGCAAATATCCAGCTCAAAATTAAGCAGTTCCTCCACTTTTCAGAAAGCAACTCATTCCCTAAAATCCAAAGACCTTAATACTTATCACAAAAACAACTATTGACATAGTTTAAGGGACCAGCTGTAAATGAAAGATCCCTTAAAAATGACCTGGCTTAAACACTTTGGGGATATCCTTAACAAATACATTTTGCCTTTATTACACCTGTCATTTTCTAAGCATTTGGATAGTTTGCAAGATCTCAATACTCTTTAGAGGGGGGAGGAGGCAATGGGTAGGAGAGCTCATGGTGGGGAGGTGGTCCTGGCAACCTTTGTTCTTGGACCTGTGTTCTTCGTGCTGTTGATGAGGATGTTCACTTTGTGATCCTTCACTGAGCTGCACGTTTATGTTTTTTGCACTGTTCTGTGTCTTATACTTTATAATTAAAAAAAGTAAAAAAAAACATCAAGGATCTTAAATTACAGGTAGAATTACTGTGATTGTGAACTAGAGGTTTCTTTATTTGGAAGAGTGATAACGACATTCGTGATCAGGCAGGGTGCTCAGTTGTTATGTGCTAAAGATATCCAACATGCTTATCTCCTCTGGGCAGGTAATGGCTCAGTCTTCTTTGTATGAGGGTATTTTTAATTACCCTGCCTCAGTACCCTGCTGTTCTGAGGATAAAAGGCAAAAAAAGACAAAGTCCTGGCTCCTACTAGCGGAAAATTGAAACCTAGTGGATACTGCCTCTGAGGCCTCAACGGCCAAGTTGTCTTTGAGTTGAAGCCAACCCATAAACATCTCCTAAAGGTTCTGACTGGCTCCTTTGTGTTTGTTCTTCAAAGAGAATCTTTGGGAGAAATTTTCTAATTTCCTCAGGCCAAAGCATCTTCAAAAGCTATGGTTCCCCTGAATATTGAGAGTATTTTTGCCTTCCCAAAGTTGTGATCTTGTACCTGAGCACTTTTTTTTCTTTACTTTGGCAGCTAGGTAGGTCCAAGCCAAATTTTCAGTCCACCTTTTAACAAGTTCAAGGAATTAAGAAATTCATTTATGTAAATGCATTACCTTCACTTGATTCTCACAGGAATTTATTTTATCCTTGTGTTTCCTATATTTTGGTAAGCAACTCAATGAATTTTTTGTAATGAATTTGCAGCAAAAAAAAACAAGCAAATAAATTGATAAGCATGTTAATTTATTAAATTACTTTTTAAAAATATATGTTTATTAATTTCAGAGAGGAAGAGAGAGGGAAAGAAAGAAACATCAGTGATGAGAGAAAATCACTGATGAGGATCGAGCCTGCAACCCAGGCATGTGCCCTGACCAGGAATCGAACAGTGACCTTCTGGTTCATAGGTCGACGCTCAACCACTGAGCCACACCGGCTGGGCTAAATTACTTTTTAATTTACTTTAATTAATATAATTAGTTTAATAAATGTAACTTATTAAAATAACAGATTTGTTGGTTTCAAATAAAGAATAAATTTACAAATAAATTAATAAGTACATAAGCAAATATTTGGAGATGTGAGCATACTGGATCTTATATCTATAATAATAAAAGCATAATATGCTAATTAGACCAGATATCCTTCCAGACCTCCTTCCAGAAGACATTCTGGACAAAGCCAGGGCTATGAGGGAAGCCTGGGTCCCGGGTGCCAGAGGAAAGCCGGTATCAGCAGCCGGGGGAAGGAAGGCCTACCTCTTGCATGAATTTCGTGCATCGGACCTCTAGTTGATGTATAAGTGTAAGCTAAAATTCCAAAGTGGACACACACACACACACACACACACACACACACACACACAAAGACAGTCGTGGGATAAAGCAAGTCTGAGTTTGTAAGAGTCATTTATATCATATATGTAAGTGTCTGACAATAGGTATTTGGTTGGAATTCCAGTTGTCAAGTAAAATTACATTAAGTAAGCAACAATTTAAACATTTCCTTTTTTTTGTTTTTGTTGTTTTTTCAAAGTAACCTTTTTACATTGACATCCACACTGAAGACAAGTCGGGAAATCTATTTGATTAAAAGAAATTTTACAAGTTTTTAAAACTTTTGACTGGCAAAAGGTTTTAATGAGGAAAATCTGCTCTTGTTTGGTTCTTTGTTTTGCTCCTTCCTGCAGCCTGTCCTGCCGATCACTACGGGAAGGACTGTGTCCAGCGGTGTTCCTGTGGCCCAGGACAGTGTGACCCGGTGACTGGAGAGTGCCACTGTTCACCTGGCCACATGGGAGCCAAGTGTCAGCAAGGTAACAATGACTGCAGGGCCACCTTGTTTATCCAGGCACCGACTATGCTGAACTCTGAAGGCAGATTTGGTGCCAGGGACTATAATTAAATAGGTATTGTCCACAACACTTTCTTCTTAAACCTGGCTTTCATAAGATGAGCTACAAGCTCCTGTAGAGCTATATAGGAATTATACCCTCCTGGAGGGTAAATAAAAATTGAAAACAAAAACAAGGAATAATTTTTGCATACTCGACTAAGAAACTTTTTAAATCACTTCAGCAAACTTTTGTAGCGCTGCCAAAACTTGTGCATTGGAGATGTCTAATTATAAGAACTGAAGAGTTTTATATCCTTTTCAACTTTCAGAAGTCCACTGAAAACTGCAAGAAAAATAAGAGACAGGAAGAAAAACATGATCTGTTTAAAACTGTGAAACTTCCTTGTCCTAAATCATATTAATGATAATAATAATAACAGAAGAACTGTCAAATTCCGGGAAGTGTGGACACGTGGAGAGGATGATGGGTCCCTACAGCTCTTGTGTGGGTCCAGCAGGGCAGCCACTTCTCCGTGGCTCACATGAAGGGCAAAACTAAGGACCCCTTTTTGAATCATGAGAATTGGGTGCCTAGGAAGGCTGCAGGAGCTTCCTTGAATCTCCTGGACATCTTAGAGTGGCAGGAAAAATGGGGTAAAACCAAGAAGTGAGCAGACATCTCATATTTACAACTCTTTACTGAGATAGAGGGGACTCTGTAGGTCATAGGGTGTTTTCCTCTGTGCCAAAGAGGTTTCCTACTCACTGAAATCAGATTTCTAGCCCCAGATCCACACTACTCTCTCAAAAATAGCCAGGATATAAAAAAAGTTGATTAAAAAAAACTAAGCTGATATATTTTTTAATAATTCTCTTCATTTTGGAAACAAAATATGTAACAATTCAACATAGAACAAAAAGCTTGTTACGGAAAACCTGAAAATATTAACCACAATTTCTTCCAAGAATTTAAAGGACATAATGAAAAAGTGTCCTCTATAAAATATGAGTGCAATGCAGAGATACAGGGTTCATGACATAAATGAAAACACAACAAAAGAAAATGAAAAAATAAGCTAGCCGAGCTCAGAAAGAAGTGGATAAGAAAATTAAACCTCACATCTTATGAATAAAGGCCACATTGAATGCAGGTAATAAGAGGATGGAATCTGCCAATGGGACAGCCAGGTACATAGAGAATATGCTTGAAGAAAGTGCAAACAATGAAATGAAAATGAAAACAAATATATAAATGGAAAAGAAAATTGATCAAATGTAATATTCAAGATATTTTATCTGAAATAAAAGAAGAGCTGGTGCTATAGATTGAATGAATACATTATATCCTTGGAAATGCTAGTTAGGGCTGACCCATAGGCAAGGGGAAACTCCATTGGGAAAATTAAAAATATGTATATGAGATCCCATATGAAGTGGGAGATCAGTCTGGCCTCATACCTCATAGCAATATTCATTCCAGCCTATGGTTAAGCAATGCCTATGAAATTCTTGGGGGGAAATATGACTAGGGTATTTTATACACAGTGAAACTGTTATTTCAGTATAACATGATGAAAAATAAAATAACTGTTTTAATAAACAACTAAATATATTTCTAGGGATGCAGTAGCTATAAAATATTTTAAAGAAGCTAATAGAAGATAAATTTGAGCCACCAAGTAATATATGTAAAATCTCTGGTAAACAGACTGTTAGGGAGCTTTAAATCTATTTTAATTGGTGATGAATTTAAAACAAATGTGGAAATTATACTCAAGTGATGAAGATAAACAGATAAATATTAGAAATTATAACAATGTTGAGATTTTAGCATAACTTTAACCAGCATAAGCTGGAAGGGGAAAGAAGATGAAGAAGTATAAGTATACTAATGTTATTTCTGTAGTAATGGTTGTGGGATGGCAAGGATAGATCTGTGTCAAAACATAATATTTACATATGACAACTCAATAAGTATGTTTAAGTGAGTAATGGTAAATGCTAGAATTGAGAATGCTGTAATTGAAAATATAAGAATAAAACTGTATCCAGCTACAATCAGAAGAGAAGAATGAGTAAAATTAGGAGAAAGCAGAATCATATTAATTCTATCAACATTCATACTGGAGGATCAATATGTACTTAATAAAGAAATGCATTATATTATATAATTTTATATGCACGGTCTAAAGAAGGTTCCCTAGATGATATAAAATTACAAGACTTTCACTTAGAGAAAGATGGATTATATACACTTTTTTCTATTTCTTCCTCCCCAAACAGTAAAAATTCTAGAAACTATGTAGAAAACAAACATAAGAAACTGAAATGTGGAGAGAAGGCAGACTCACTGGGAACAGTGGGGACTTAGTGAACAACATAATCGTGAGTTCCTTGGGCTTCCTTTCTTTGTCTCATATATCCTGGACTGGGTGCAGAGAAACATGAAACCCAGAAAAGCTAATCAGTGCAGATAAAATAAGGCTCGAGATAAGCCTACTTTTTCTAGTCAAAAGACCTGGAAAGTCCAGCCAGGGTGGCTCAGTGGTTGAGCGTCAACCTATAAACCAGAAGGTTATGGCTCAATTCCCAGTCAGGGCACATGCCTAGGTTGCGAGCTCGATCCCAGATTGCAGGAGGCAGCCAACCAATGGTCAATGATTCTCTTTCATCATTGATGTTTCTATTTCTCTCTCCCTCTCCCTACCGCTCTGAAATCAATTATACATATATATATTTCTTTTTTTTTTTAGACCAGGAAAAAGGCAGTCTACCAAGACAAAAATCTCTCAGACAATAATCAGTCTAACTCCAGTCAAACACTACAAAATAAAACTTCATCCTCAACTTCAACCCAGGTCACCTGAATAATCTATTCTTCAAATTCCACCTGGATGTAATGAGCCAACCATCCCCTGCACCAGGATGGTGTGAGAAAAGGCCCATGGGGCTGGGACTTTCACCCCTGCCAGGTCAGAATGAGTACCCCACAACCCCTTGCAGTGTTAGTGCAAACCATATGGAGAGTGTGAAAACTCCACCCCCCCCCCAGTAGATAGTAAGGAGACACTACTCCTTTCTGCCAGGGTGGCACCAGAAGAGATCTAGTGGATAGTCAGGACTTTCACTACCACCAATCAGCCATGAGACCACCTCACACAGTGTCAGTGAGGTCAAGTGGAGAGGTGTAAGGAGGTCCTCTACCCCTCAGTCAGGTAGGTGTCAGCAGAGGCCTGATCTCTTACCCTGGCCCAGCACTAATGAGTCATGTTTAGTCCCCTCCACTGGAGACTTGGTGGGGAACATGGACTTTAACTTCTATCGGCTGAACCTCTTTCCTCAGTGTCATAGGAGACTCACTAAGTCAGGAGATTTAAATGAGATCCAGAGTCTCATATCATAATATTCAAAATGTCCAGGTTTCATTTAAAAATTATTCTTCAAAGCAACAACCAGGAACATTTCAAATTGGTATAGGATATACAACTGAAAGCAACAAATGAACAAACAAACAAAGACTTATGGACAAAGAAAACAGTATGGTCGTTACCAAAGGGAAAAGGGCTGCAGGGGGTGGGGGAATAGTAAAGGAGGGACAAATATATGGTGAAGAAGGACTTTGGGTGGTGAACACACAATGCAATATACAGATGAATATTAGAGAATTATACCCTTAACCCTATGTAATTTTATTAACCAATGTAACTCCAATAAATTTAATTAAAAATAATTAATAGATATGAACACTGAGATGACACTGGTGATAAAATTATCTCAATTTTTAAAGGAGCCATCATAAAAATGCTTCAGTGAGCAACTACAAAACTGCTTGAAACTCATAAAAGAAAAAATAGAAACAACATGAGACATAAAGAAGAATCAAATGGAAATTCTAGAACGGGCACATATAATAACCAAAAACAAAACACACACACACACACACACACACACACACACACACAAAAAAAAAGCTCAATAGATGGCCTTAATAGCAGAATATGGAGGACAGAGGAACACATCAGAGACCTCAAAGATAAAACAATATAAATTACCAAATCTAAACACAAAAAATGGAAACAACCAAAATAAAAAATAGAGCCTCAGGACCTGTGGAAGCACTAAAAAAAAGGTCTAACATTTATAAATCAGAATCTCAGAGTAGAAAACTAAGAGGGCCGAACCGAAAGAGTCTTCAAAGAAATAATAGCTAAAAATGTCCTTATGAACCAAAATATAAACCTAAAAATTCAAGAAGCTGTATTAATGCCAAACAAGATAAACAGAAAGAAATCTACAAAAGACGTATCAACATCAAATTTCTGAATATTAAAATAGAAAAAAATCTTGAAAGCAGCAAAAGAGAAATGACATCCACCTTATCTTAGAAGAAAAGACTTCAAAATAAAATGAAAGTACATAAAGGGTACAGATACACCAAACACATGTGAACAGATGAAAAGCAGTAGTCATGACATCAGTATTAAACAATGTTAATTTTATGGCAACAAGCATCTAATGAGAAGGGCACTTATAATAGAGGGTAAAATTCACACTGAAAATTTAAGTGTAATTGATATGTATAAAATAAATAACATGGTATTGAAATTAATAAAGCAAAAGCCATATGCTAGAAGGAGAAATAGACTGCAAGAGCTTATCAGTAGACTATTTGTTAGCCCATACACATATTACTGTATACACATATGCATAAAAATAATCTTGTTGATACTTGCACTAATAAACTATGTCTAATTGCTATAAACCGAACTGCACCCTGAAAAATTGTAAAAGAAAATCAGGCAATTCTAAAAAATATAATTCATGACATTTGATGATCACAAAGCAATAAAACAGGAACAATAAGAAAACTAAATACCTACTGGGGGAGGGGGAATTCCATTACAGTATACTGCATTGGCATTTTGAAATCTCCTTAAATAATCAATGGCCTAAAAGGGCAAATAAAACCAACATTTTAGAAATTTAAAAACATTAATAATAATACAACCTATAGGATAAAGCTAATTCAGTTAAATGGAGGAAAATTTATATTCCAAAATACTTATGTTAGTAAATAAGAAATGATGAAAATAAGTGAAAAAAATAAAGAACAATAAAATATACTTAAAGTGATCCCTACCTTAATTTATTCACCAAAATTACTTCCAGGTACTTACAATAATTACAAAGCTATGACAGTAATAGAATTACCATTGTGATTTTTTCAAATTTATTTTGAGGCCAGATATAAATTGTGACAAAAACACAAAACTACAGGAGGAAAAAGAAAAAAGATAAAAAAGAAGAAAGACTAACAAAGCACTAAGTTTCTTATTAAACAAAGAATTCTTATATATCAAGAAAAGAACCCATGACACCCAATAGATCTTATGAAAAGTTGATAAGCATCATTCATAATGTGAGAAATCCAAATTAAAGTTGCAATTATATGTCACTTCACCTATCAGATTTTCATAATATACCAATTTGAAGATTGAAACATGGGCACATTGATAATTCTTAATAAATTTGCAAATCTCTTTGTAAGGAAATTTGATAATATCTGTTATGATTTAGAAGGACATATCACTTTACTGAGAAAATCATCTGGGACTTACCCTTCAGGTATAATATTACATATGAATAAAGACTTCCATGAGGATATCCATTACAGTGTTGTTTATAATAGTAAAATATTTTAAACAATCTACTTGCCATCAATACTCGACTGGTAAAATAAATATTTCTTAGATGCAATAAATCCTATGCAGCTGTTAAAAATGAATGAAGATTTATGTAGATCTGTTACATGTACAAATTTTGAAACACCTTGGAAACTTTTATTTACAGAAGAAAGCTAATTTTACAATATTACTTATCTGTGTTAACATTTTGGGTAAAAAAAAGATTAAAGGGTAAGAGAGATATACACATGTATGCCTTATTAGACATGGAATATTTCTGGATATATTCAGTTATTTACCTACTCAGTTCAATAACTATTTATTGAATGCCACTGCCTGTTTTAAGCTCACAGAATATATAGATAAAATCTTGATACCCCGGTTCTCATGCAACTTGTTTTCTTGTGGAGAAGAGACAATAAAAAATAAACATGTTTAATAAGTTATGTCTGTGCATGATAAAAGGAAATAAAATCTATAGTAAAATAAAAATAGAGCATGGCCAGGGGCTTGAGAATGTAGATGGTTTGGAATTGTTAATTGAGTAGTCAGGATGAGGCCTATGCTACAGAAAAGAGATGGCAACCATGATGTTTTTGAGAAGGGAACCTGGAAGACAGGAGCACAGGGATGAAATGCTTTTTCTCAGACTACTAACCTGTTTGAAATATTCATTGGGTAATAACATGAACTTTTAAAAAAAGCAATGAAGTTATATAAACAATTCTATGCAGACATTTTTCTAACACTTAGACTTGTGGAAAATATCATTTCTCAGTCCTCCTCACTTTCCAATTATGCTTTTGTCTTAAGCGTTATCATAAAGTCTTATATTTTCACAGATTTGCCAGTTTCATCAATGCCTTTCAACGTTCAGGTTGGAAGATGAATGGGCCTCCTGGCTGATGAGGTTGCTTTAAATGGGTGAAAGGGAAACCAATGAAAGTTTATTTTAATAGTATACTGGTAGGACTTGGTGTCATCGATTCTACTTCATTTGCCTTAAAGGCAAAAACTAAAAAAGAATAAATGGCAATTAATTTAAAGAAACTCATTATACATGTGATGATAATCTAACAATTTGTTGTACAACTAAAGTTATTTAAATAAACAAAATGAAAATTCTTCTTTCATTTAGTACTAAAATGAAGTGCACCTGTTCAGTCCAATAAAAGCATACATATCGAATTCAAGTACATGCTCTGTTACGTATTAACCAAATGCTTTCAGGCGAGTAAAAAAACCAAAACTCTCTAATGTCTCTCCTGCTACCTGGAGTAGAAAGAATGCTTGATGAGAAGTCAGAAGTTCTAGACTTGAATCTTGGTTTTTATCTCTCCTGGCTGCTTAAGCCTGAGCGAAACCTAAGTCTCTGAGCATCAGTTTTCTCAAGTATAAAATAGGAATAATGTACCCACATCAGAGGGATATTATATTTGTGAGCATTAAATGAGATAATTCATGTGGAAAATATCATTATATAAAAATACTATAAACTGGAAGGTATAAATGGCAGATCCTTGGCCAAATCTAGGCACAAATGTGTTTGAATTGGCTGACAGTACTGGATCCCACGGTGCTGTAAAGCAATTTTAATTAGTTGCCAATGTTCAAAGATTGGATGAATTTATGTAAAATATGGATTTTAAGTTTTCCTAAAAAATTATATTAGCTGGCTCTATCGGGCCCATATTCTGTTGGCAAAAAACCAACTAAATGTGAGTGGTGGTTAGTCTCGCCTTAGGGAGCCTTTGTGCTCCCAATTGGTGTCACTTTCCTTCATTCATCATTCAGTTATTTGCCCCCTGACAGTGAAGACTCAATTTTCCTTATGCCTGGCCAGCCTCACTCTCTCCTGTCTTAACTCCTACTGGCCACATATGTTTGTTCTGTCACCCACCATTGTATGCTGCAGAGCTTTTCCTATTCCAGCACAAAAACGTTAAACAAACTGCTCATCTGTCTTCTTTATCAGTTTTGAGACAAAATATATAAAAGGCTTCCATTGCTAATCTGGGATTGACCTCTGCTTGTTCTCTAGGGGATCTCCAGTTCCCAGCCACATCATTATGAGCTCAATAAATATTTATGGAGTGAATAAAAACGTGAATGAATGACAGTGATGTGCCTTCTACCTTAAAGATACATCTGAGTGTGTGTTTTCATTTGAACATTTTCTTATGCTTTTCTACTTAGATATGATTACTCTATCTGAAGCAGAGAAAAATGTTTGCTCATGTGACATTTTTATTCAGTTTGATTTTTGTTTTTATTTTTTTACTACAGGATGTCCCCAGACAAGGTATGGCCCAAATTGTGAGCTAATATGTACCTGTAAAAATGGTGGCCTTTGCAATCCTGTGGATGGAAGCTGTACCTGTGGCCTTGGTTGGACAGGAAATTATTGTGAAAAAAGTAAGTTGATTGCCGCCTTCTTTCATTCAATAAAAATCTAGAGGCTACTGCCACTGGTTGATAAAATACAGGACAGGCCCCCAAAGAGGCAATTTCCCAAGAAGTTCACCTAAGCCACTTGTAATTATGATTGCATTTCCAATAAAAATAGTGTTCTGTTAATATTGATGGATTTTTGTTACCTTGTTACCAGAATACCCCTGAAAAGTCTTAAAACCCTTAAGTCAGTGGTTCTCAACCTTCCTAATGCCTCGACCCTTTAATAAAGTTCCTCATGTTGTGGTGACCCCCAACCATAAAATTATTTTCGTTGCTACTTCATAACTGTAATTTTGCTACTGTTATGAATCGTAATGTAAATATCTGATATGCAGGATGTATTTTCATTGTTACAAATTGAACATAATTAAAGCATAGTGATTAATCACAAAAACAATATGTAATTACATATGTGTTTTCCGATGGTCTTAGGCGACCCCTGTGAAAGGGTCGTTCGACCCCCAAAGGGGTCGCGACGCACAGGTTGAGAACCGCTGCCTTAAGTAATTGGAATAGTAGTAATATAAAAGAACTCCTCTAAGACCTAAATCTATTCCCCCTCCAAACAGTTTTAAGCATGAAGGCTTTGTGGCCAGCAAATCTGCTGAACCCTGAGTTTCTTGGCATGAGGTTAAAGGACCTCAACCACCACTGAAAATGTATCCATTGAACATTCACAAAAATTGAAAAAGAAAATCAAGCAATTCTAAAAAATATAATTCATGACATTCGATGATCACAAAGCAATAAAACAGGAACTAATAACAAAACTAATTATCTTGCCGGGATGAAGCCTTGAGGCAGGCAGGCTGGAGGATGCGGGGCCCTGGGCAGAGCCAGGGGTGAAGGAGAGGACTCTGGGCATAGAGGACTCCAAACTTTATTTCATCAGGAAAATATCATCATCTACCACTGTAAATATATTTTTTACACATAAGTGACATTTATGTGTTTCTCAGCTAATATATTATGCATTCCATAAAACATATATAAAGGTTTAAATTGCTGAAGAATGGATAAAGATAAAGATTGATAGTTCTAATTCTTCTTTCCAAACCGCAGTTGATTATTTTGTGCAATACTGGAGAGCATGCACCCTACTTAAGAGCTCACTTTTGTAGGAGATGGTTTTGTGTTCTGGCAGCATAGACAGAAGGTCTCTGGCAGGGAGACAGAGTGTGGGTGAGAACACTGCTGGGGGCCTACACTGGGGGCACCTTATGTAAAAAAAAATTGACAGTAAACTTGTACCTAGTTGTTTTCAACTATGGGGTCATGGCTCTTTAGACCTGCGTCCTGACATATTATCTCAATGAGTGTGATACCCACTATCCTTCACTATGAATTTGATTATCATGAAATTCGGCATCAGGGCACACAACAAAGCACCTTGCAATAGGAGTGGACAGACTCGTATGCCAACTCTGCTCGGCCCATACCATGCTCTATCTATGCCTTTGGGAAGTTCACAGTCTCTCTGTGATTTGGTTTTCTCACATGAATATGACACTTTGAAGTGACAGTGCTTCTAAACCTAGTATTTAAGGTCATTTTCTTGGATTTTTTTTTATGTGGATATCCTCCCTCATTTATGGAGACAACTGTTACCAATTTTGTGATATCGGAGATTGCTGAATCAGATTAATAGCAGTTCTTTATAATTAGACAGTGGCTTTATGTCCATATTGTTTTGTTGTGGTTTTTTTTTTTAATTTTAAGTTGGGCAACTCTTCAGCATGTGGGGACATAAGATATTTTAACGTTTGATCCTATCATTTAAACCCTTTGTTACTTATGAAATTATTTTAATTCAACTATTTATTATTGAAATTTATTCTATGAAACTTATTCTATTTTGTCATTAAAACTTTTTAAACTTTTGTTTTTATCATTTAAATTTATTTATTATTTATTTTATCTCAAATATAATACACGAGTTGATGAGCCACTGGGTAAATGCAAATGTAATTTTGCAACATATTGACAAATTCTCCTCTGTGAGAGTTTATACCATTTTGCATCCTCATAACCAAGATATAGAATATCTCTTGCATCAGAGCTTTATCAAAAGAGTATGTTATCAAAATCTTGGTAAAAAATGTTCTATCAGTGGATATTTAATTTTCATTTTTAGTATTATGAATAAAGTTAAGTGTCTTTTGTAACTGGTAAGCATCTCTTGCATTTATTTTTTCTATAAATTGTTCATAACTCAAGCTCATTTTTCTGTAAGGTTCTGTTTTTTTTCTACTATAATACTAGAAGTTCTATAGTTATTAGAAATATTAACTCTTTGTTGTGAATTATTCACCCATATTTGGGTAAGTTTATGTTTTGTCTTTTTATTTTGCCACCTGATTGCTTATTAATTGATATATAACAAACCACCCCAAAACTTAGAAACTGGAACAACCATGAATTATTATCTCTCATGATTCTGAGGGTTAACTGCATTCAGCTGAGTGGTCCTTCTCTCAGATAGGAGCTGGGGCTGAAGTTCTCTGGAGATTCAGCCGGGCTGGAATATAGAAGATAACCTCTTTATTTACACATCTGCCAACCAGGCTTTGCTCCACATGGCTTCTTTCTCCTTGTCTTAGTCAGCTCAGGCTGATATAACAAAATATCATAAAGTAGGATACTTAAACAACAGAAATTTATTTTCACAGTTCTGGAGTCTGGGAAGTCCAAGATTAAGGTACAGGCAGATTTAGTGCCTGGTGAAGGCCCTCTTTTCTGATTTGCTGATGGCCTTGTTTTTGTTTTATTCTTACATGGGAGTGGGGGGGGGGGGTCGCAAGAAAGAGAGAGAGAGAGAGAGAGAGAGAGAGAGCACACACTCATGTTTCTTCTTATAAAGACACTTGTCCCATCATGAGGGTTCCACCAGAATAATTCTCCAACAGAATAATTTGGTTTCTTACATGACAGCTGACTTTCTAAAGCAAGTCCTGGGATCAGTCCAGGTTCCACATAGGAGGGAACAACACAGGGTGTGAATCCCAGCGGATGTGCTTCATTGGGAATATCTTTAGATAATGGGCTCTTCATGATTCAAAGGGATTTTTTTGTTTGTTTTATTTTTGTAATAAAATATATCTTTCTTCCCTTTATTTTCTTTATATTTTGAGTCGCACTTAGGAATGTATTCCCCATTCTCAGGTAGTAAAGGAGTTCACTCATATTTTCTTTTACATACCAATACGATGTCATTTTTTGACATTTGATTCTCTGATCAATTTTAAATATGTTTCTTGGTGAATTGTGTGAGAAACAAATCCATTTTCCCCTTACATAGCTTTTCACTTATTGTAATGCAACTTTTACAAGTGAAACTTCCTCACTAACTCCAGATTTAGCCTTCATCAAATACTAAGCATTTATATGTAGTTTGGGATAGTTCTGGATGCTCTGTTCTATTGGTCTATTTAGGTGCAAATGCAGTGCCATTTTTATTATGAAGCCTTTATTAAACATATTTGAACTGATAGAGCCAGCCACCCTTCATTGCTCTATTTTTCAAGGATTTTCTGGCATTATTTCCATGTGAAATTTATAATAAACTTGTCCAAATGCAAAACAAACAAACATAAAAAAACCACAGGTATTTTTTACTGTTTGTTGTCCTCTATCTATTCTCTCTGGGAGAATGAACATCTTTACGATATTAACTCATCATATCTGAGAATAGACATGGTCTATCATTCCATTTGTTCAAGCTTTTTGCTCTCTATTAAGTAAAATACTGGATAATAATATTCATTTGAGATATAGCTATTGATTTTCTAATTTACTCAATATTTTTACTGAATATTTTAGTGAATTTATTTTTTACATGTCTTTTCTACATCTATGGAATTAATAATATAACTTTTCTCTTTGGCTGATAATTATGGTGGATTTATTAATGAATTTTCTAATATTAAATGACCTTACCTTCTTGGAATAAATACAACTTGGACATGATATATTACTTTATAGTCTGCTATTGGTTTCTATGTACTTATATTTTTATGAATTTGGCATCAATATTCATAAGTGAAATTGAGCTCTTTAATGTATTTTTGTCAGATTTTGGAATTGATGCTATACTCAGTAAAATGTATTTGAAAGCTTCCTTCTTTTCAGTGTTCTGGACTAGTGTAAATAGTAAGGTGAGGATCTGATCTGCGAAGGTTTATAGAATTTTCCTGTGAAACCTATGTCTTATGGGATTTTTTAAAAAATTCAGTAGCTATTTTCTTTATTGTTCTATTCTAATTAGCCTAGGTTTTCTGCCTCAAAGTAAGATAATTTTGGTAAGTTGTCTTCTGTAACTTTTCCATTTCATTCAGGTTTTTATATTTATTTATACTGTACTTTTATATCTATTTCTTTTGATGATCATTCAATAATTTTAAAAAGGTGTGTATATTTGTGCTTTCTGTCTTTTCTCTTTATTGGATTAGCTAATGATTCATCTGCTTTTAATTTTTTTTTTGTCTTCAAACTCATTAGTATTCAGTTGTCTTAACTAGAACTAATGCTTGGATGGTTCCTTTTTCAGAATGTTCCCCTGGGTATTATGGCCCAGGCTGCCATTTTAATTGCACCTGTCAGAACAGTGGAGTTTGCAACAGGTTTTCTGGAAGCTGTGAGTGCCTCCAAGGTTACTATGGACGAGACTGTGAACATGGTAAGCAGAGAAAATGAGTGGGCATGTTATGGTGTCGATAAGTTTTAAGTTTTAAAAACTATTTATAAAATAAAAGTAATATATTTGCATTATATCAAATTAGATAAAATGTTAATGCTTTAGTGTATATTCTTACAATGTATTTGATAGCTCAACTTTAAGGTCTAGATGTTGACAACTGCTATCATTAAGTAATTAGACTTCTGTATTCCTTTCTGGAACTACTGTTCAGAAATGATTCTAATGTTCTATAATCATCTGGAATAGAAACAGGCAGACACACCCAAAGGAGTCAGCTGATTGCTGGTCCTTTTGAACATAATATTCTACTTTCTACACAAAATACAAATAAAGAAGCTGCTTGTTTCATATTGATCTAGACCTAACTCTAAAAAATCTATCGGGTTCTTTTTAAACATATTTATTTATATCAATTCTTCATTTAGACTTAATATTTTCACCTAAAATTAGGAAAAGAATTGTACAATAATTAAGAATTATACAATAATTTGTCTTATATGTCAGAGAGCCTTGATGGGAACACAAGAGATTAAGATGTTAAAGTCTAGGCTCTAGCGTTCATTGTATATGGCCTAGCTTTGCCTTATAAAAGAGATATAAACTATTAACTTCAAAGTTTCAGCTTCGTCAGTGTAGAATGGGGATAACAATAACACCTACTATAAAAGGTATGATGAGGATTAAATAAGAAGATACATGTAAGCATTTGTACTAAGGCATGTGGCGAAAGCTTGACCAATATTAATCATTTAAAAGTAAAGGGCTTTGTAAAGCCTCTGAAGTGATAATAGCAATGTTTGAAATTGTTTCCATGTTTTTCAACTTGTTTTTAGTATTTGGCAAATACATTTTACAGAAACAAATTTTACTAAGCCTCCTGAGGTTTAGAACTCTTGCCAACCATTCTGAGGTTTCCTGGGTTAGGGAGTGTGGAAGCAAACACCTTGTGGTTTTGTTTGTTTGCTTTGTTTTCAAAATTGGAATAAGAGATACAAGAGAGAGAAAAAATATCTATTCAAGGCCCATATATTTCATATTACATACATTCTACAGATCCTACATATGATGAGTATCAAGAAAGATTTTGAGCAGACAAGAGATACTATTCTAGTGAAATAAATCTGTAAAGTGAGAACATTATTGATTATTAAGAAAAGGAGCCATCAGTAGTGTCCACATGGAGAGCTATAGTGATAGGCTAGGACTTTAAAATCTGGACTAGGATAGAAAAGCAGATGAACTCTGACCAGTGTGGCTCAGTTGATTGAACATCATCCCATGCACAGATAAGTTGTTGGTTTGATATTGATTCCTGGTCAGGTCACATGCCCAGGTTTACTGGATCCTTGATGGGGGACATGCAGGAGGTGGCCAATCTATATTTCTTAATCCTTCAATTATTCTCTCTCTCTCTCCCTTCTTCTCTCTCTAAAAATCAATAGGAAATGAACAAAATATTTTCAAAGAAAAATTGACTGTATTGGGCAATTAATTTGGACATGAAGATGAGGAAAACAAAGGCACCAACAATGGCTCTAAAGTTCCAAGCCAGGGAACCTTAGGGCAAACATAAACCCAAATAAAAACCATGGCATAATCACCTAAACTTCTGACTGGACATTAAAGTGATAGGAATGCACTCTGTAGCCAATATAGTGCATTATTCTGATTTTGTTGCTGATTGTTCAAAAAGTTTTGAAATTGTTTAATATCTCAAAATACCACAAGAGATGTTAGTCTTCAATAGACAAAGATTCTCCTATTTAGAGAAATAGAAAAGTTGAGCAAGGCAACCTTTATAAACTCAGCTTTATAAATAATGAAAATAAAGGGGAGAAAGAGAGATTTGATTTTTCTCTGTATTCTCAATATTAATTATACGAGAACAAATAGAAGAAACCCTGCATTGATCTTTTTTGTTACTCTTTAAAAATATATTTTATTGATTTCAGAGAGGAAGGGAGAGGGAGAGAAAGATAAATATACCAATGATGAGAGAAAATCACTGATTGGCTGCCTCCTGCAAGCCCCACGCTGGGGATTGAGCCCACAGCCTGGGCATGTTCCCTGATCAGGAATCGAACCATGATCTCCTGGTTCATAGGTTGACGCTCAACCACTGAGCCATGCAGGTCCAGCTGTTATTCATTTTTTTAAGAGTTATAAGATCAAAAAATGAATGAGTGTGTATTATATAAATTAATTTATTTCTTACCTCCTTTTGGTTTTACCTCCTTTTTCTGCTCCCTGAATGCGAGTTTTTCCTAATGTTGAATCTGTCCTGAGTAACTCCATGCATGCTGGAGAAGTGTCACGCTCATGAAGCCTAGGCAAATTTAACTGTAGGAAAGGAGGCTAGGCTGACAAAGAAAGAGGGAGAAAGAGGGGGGGAGGGAGGGAGAGAGAGAGAGAGAGAGAGAGAGAGAGAGAGAGAGAGAATAATTGAAAGACTGAGGAAATTCTATCGCCCTCCCATTCCCAGTGAGTGGTAAGCATAGGCTTAGAGAAAACTCAAGATAAGAAATGGGAATATTTGTCTCAGTCGAGCTTAGCTCTCACACATCTCTATTTGAGTGATTATATCTATGGACAGATGACAATCTTAGCATTCAAAGAAAAGCATGTGCTGGGATTACATGGTCTCTAAAGGTAAACTAATTAGTTATTTTGTTGTTCAGCCACAAAAATATGGAAGAAAAACTAGTTCTACTGTGCTTACTAAGAAATAATTCTACTTTATGGACCATCTATGGAAGTATTTTAAAGGTTAAATTTCACTGATTTTGAAATCTAACTTCCAACTTCCTCATATGATGTTAACCTACTGTATATACATCATATTGTCTTTTATTCCCCTTTTTTTCCTTTCTCCCTTCCCCCTTTTCCTCATACTCACCTCTATCATCCATTCCCAAAACTTCAAATATCAAGAGCTATATAAATCACCATCCACAGATACTCTCTTATTTATTTAAATAACTTAACTCAAAAGCCATCCTTACTAAATTTAACCTGTATCTACCTTTTTAAAACATTGTTCTTTTAAGTGTTTGGGGTATTCGGGTGTTTTGAAGTCTTTGTCAGGTACACCATAGCAAATAAATTGTACTTACTTGAAGATATTTGAATTTTTTATGGATTCTTCTAGACTACTTGTAGAAAAATGGATCAATGCACTCACTTATTTGTATGACTAAACTATGGTCAATATGCTTCTCCACATAATTCTTTCTTGTTTCTAATTTTATGCTTTCATCTCCTTCTTTGGTCCTGGGAAACAAATGACCTACTGCGTATCCTTTAATTTTCCCTGCATTTATTCTTAAAGCCAAAATAGCATTTTGACATTTTTCTTTTCCAGCATGCCTTCCTGGATTTTATGGTTTGAATTGTGCTCACATCTGTGACTGCAGAAATGGAGCCAGTTGTGATGCAATGAGTGGACAGTGCATTTGCCCAGCAGGTTTCCATGGCAGCCAGTGTGAAAAAGGTATAGCCAGAGCATTTTAAAGCAGGTGAATAGGGGAATTCTGTGTGAATGTGAGGTCTTTCTATCTTAGGGCAAACATAAACCCAAATCAAAAACATGGAATAATCACTTAAGCTTCTGACTTGGACATTAAAGCAACGGGAATTCACTCTATAGCCAATGTGTCCTTCTGATTTTGTTGCTGATTGTTCAAAAATGTTACCTTCCCCTAAGTGAAATGGCTTAATATTCCAAACCCCACTAAAGCTGTTATTCTTCAACTGACAAAGATTCTACCTCTGAATGAGAAATATTTTATTAAAAGATTTTAAAAAGATTTTCTTTTGGGTTTAAAGATATTAAAATAGCCGAAACCGGTTTGGCTCAGTGGATAGAGCGTCGGCCTGCGGACTGAAAGGTCCCGGGTTCAATTCCGGTCAAGGGCATGTACCTGGGTTGCGGGCACATCCCCAGTGGGAGATGTGCAGGAGGCAGCTGATCTATGTTTCTCTCTCATCGATGTTTCTAACTCTCTATCCCTCTCCCTTCCTCTCTGTAAAAAATCAATAAAATATATTAAAAAAATAAATAAATAAAGATATTAAAATAGATACAAGCCTTTATGAAAAATGTTTAAAGATGGGAATTAGGCATTTATTACTAGAAAATAATGGCAGTCATGAATGTGGATGGGGAAATAGAGGTGAGAACTTGGGCTACTAGTTTAAAATAGTAAATTATAAAGTCCTAAAAGACTGATCAGTCTATTCAAAACAATGCCAGAGTACATAATTCTCAGTAAGCAACTCAAAATATCATTTTAGTCTATATTATGTATGACTTGTGCATAGGGTTATAATAATCATTATGATTATAATAATATAATGATAGTGGTCACTTGACTTTATGTGAATCAGAGTTATTGCCTTTAAAAAGGATTCATGTGGGTGGGTGGGATGAGATCAACCAAAGAGCTTGTTTGCATAATTGCATAACCTATGGACATAGACAATAGGGTGGTGGAGGCCTGGGGCAAGGGGGATGGGCTATAAGGGGGTCAATGGGAGAAAAAAAGGGACGTATGTAATACTTTCAACAGTAAAGGTTTTTTAAAAAGAAAGAAACAAGGTTACAAAACATAAAAATAAATAAAAAGGATTCATATGCTATTCCCATACTATATCCTCATAAGTCACTAGAGATATACATACAGTATTTCTTGCCATCCTTTATTCACTTATCCACTTATTATTTACTGTTATGTTCTGGGAATATAGTGGAGCTTACAGTCTTTCGGGAAAATAGTAAATAAATAACATTTAAGGAAAAATATTAAAAGTAATACTCTTGGCTAGTAGACTCAATTTTCTTCTTAAAGTTCCTATCTTTGAAAGCCCTCCATAGGTACAAACCAGTGTCAGAGTAAGTCAATTTAAAACCTGAGTGTGAAATCATGTATAAAATGAAGCTGATTTCTGAGAATTCCAAAACTTTCCTCTCTTCTTCTAACAAAAAAATCTCATTTTATTCTCCCACTTTGCTACTTGGGGCTCAATCTTGAGGAAATTCTATTTTTAATCCCATGTTAGTTGCATCATTGAAAATTCAAGTGGTTAATGTTTCAGCATTTCTCTTTCCTTGGTAGAGTGTTCACCTGGAATGTTTGGAGACAATTGCCAGCATCTTTGTGACTGTGAAAGCAACATCTCCTGCCACCCAGTAACTGGAAAGTGCCTCTGCCCACCTGGAAGAGCCGGAGCCAGATGTGAAGCTGGTATGAGCCAAGTACCTGGTGGTGTCCCTCTGACTCATGGGTGATTCAGAGATCTCTAGGCATTTTTTATACTGAAAGTATTATGCAATTAAAGAACATCACACTACCATTGCTTGTCACCTTGCCTTAGTATGATTAATCAGAGTATGTGGCTGTTGCATAACAGGCAACCAAAACCAGCACTATGGCTGACAGAGGACGCCTTGAAGGCACCTCAAGGTGATGCAATTAAACATCCTGATTACAAAAGGAATTCAGAAAAATCACTAGAAATAAGGCAATGAAGATACAGGGACTATTCTTGAGAACCAAGTTCCCCGTATTCTTGGGAATTTGAGATTTAAACCTTTTCCCCCCTTTACACTCACAGGAAGAAAGGCCTAGAATATAAAATTCAAAATCTTTAGCGACTATCTTAAGAAGAGGAGAAAGTAGACTGAGTGGATCATTGACTCATCACTTACTATTTAAACTTAATGGATGCTTCCTAGATGAAAAGTTTCATATGTTTCACAATAACCCCGAAGGACTGATCATCCTAAACATTTTGCTTATATTCATTTACTCTTTGCCACCACCCAATGAGGCTGTTCTATTTTTATTCTTACTTGACAAAAGAGAGAGCTGAGGCACAGAAAAATAGGAAGAGTCAGAACCAAGATTTAACCCTAGGCAGTCTGGTTTTGACCGTTGGGTGATGATGCTCTTAGTAGACAATACTATATGTGTGCATGTCTGCATGTAGTCCTGTATAAGGAACCTTCAGGGGCTCATCAAGAGATTTATATTCTTTCCTATCCCTTCTTCCCTTTTTCATAGGCCTTTAAAATAAGTCCAATGAGTTATGAATATCGAGTTGGAATCCTTTGGGATCTTCCAACTGAGAAGCTTACTGATGCTGACATTTCTTTTTTGCAAAGCTGCTTCATGTATAGCTCTAATCACTGTGTTTCACTGCACTACAAGCTTCTTGAGCGTTCGATCCATGTTTATTTATCTTTTATCCAAAAAGGCTCAGAAAAGGGTCTAGCACATGACAGTTTTCAGCAAATTTTTGTTTCTTTTCAGCATTCCTCAGGGAGTCATGGTAAACACGTTCCTGAACCTTGTCATATCTAAACTAAATCTGTCAGAGTAAACATCAGCGTGACATCTTGGCAAAACCACAGTATACATGTCACCAATGAAATGCTCACTGAAGGCAGAATGCTTATAGTATTTGTGGTTTCATCCAAATACTGAAGAAAACCATTCATGTTTATTGAATGTGTATCATATGCCAGGCATTTTAATGTATACTAGGTGCCTTTACTATCATCGCCCTTCCCTTTTATAGATGGGGGAGCTGCACCACAAAATGGTTAAGTAACTTGCCCAGAGTTACACAGCTCACAAATGGCAGACTGGGGATTCGAAACAGACAATCTGGGCCCCAAGCCAGACTCAACATCACTATACCGCTTCTCAAGGGAAAGGAAGGAACAGGAATTGATTTTGTTGTCCAATATGCATTGTCCATTAACCACAGGTTGCTATTTAATTTATATTTAGTTTAATTTAAAATTCACCTCCTCAGTCACATTTCAAGTGTTCAATGGCCACACATATGGTTAGTCGCTACAGTATTGGATAGCACAGTATATATAGAATGTTTTCATCATTGCTGAAAGTTCTGTTTGACAACACTCAGCGGTGACTTAAAACTAGCTTCATCTAAACCAAGAGAGCTTATGGCCAGGCTGGAAATGAAGGCCTCACTCTATGGACTTTCTATGGACTAAATTCTTGTATCACACAGTCATTTTTATCTGCAGAAAAATTACCATTTGACAGTGGAACATATGCATTAACATGCCCATTCTCAGTGGGCACCTCAAGGCCTCTCTTGTCATGAGCTCTTTGGGGGTACCCACAGCTTACACAGATGTACTACATGATCTTTTATTTGCAGTTTTATTTTCAATTAGGCGCAGTTCATCTGCGATATTAACTGTGAGCAGCTGTGTCTATGCAGGCACTATAAAGATAAAAGACCTCATTTTAATTTGAACTCTGGTAAAGGACCTATTAAACAGCCATAATGTTAATTCATAAAAGAATGTAGCAGCTTTTTATTGGATTATTTCCCCACCCCCTTGGTAAATTAACATTTGCAGACATTCAAACAGATGTCTTAAATACACATCGTTATTAACATAAAATGTGGTATTTTTATAAATTAAAATCAGATTCTGAACTGCTTAGGAGAGATCCTGACCCATAACTCTTTTTCAAACAAGAAAACTAGATCTTACCACCAAGCTAAGTAATCCTCCTACACACTGGATGGGGGTGGATGTATTAGGTTAGGATTTATTTATTTGTTTATTTATTTATTTATAATATTTATTAAATTGATTGGGGTGACATTGGTCAAAATGAACATATACATTTCAGGTGTGGGTTTCTATGTTATAAGATCTGTACTTTGCACCGTGTGCCCACCACCCAAAGTCAAATCTTCTCCTGTCACCTTATATTGGGACCCCTTTTCCCGCTACCCCCTCCCTCTAGCAATCACCACTGCTGGTTGTGTTCCCAAATATCAGTCCTGTATCATATATATGAGTGAAATCATATAGTTCTTAGCTTTTTCTAACTGACTTATTTCACTTAGCATAATGTTCTCAAGGTCCATCCATGTTGTTGCAAATGGCGCTATTTCATCCTTTCTTATGGCTGAGTAGAGGACTGGATAAAGAAGATGTGGTACTTATACACAGAGGATTTATTTTTTAATTTTGATTACGTTTGATGGTGTAAAGAAAAGATTCATTTCAGAGCAGCATTTACATCACCTCCAGAGCTCCTTTTACCTACCCGTTCTTCCTTCATCTAGGAAGAGATTGAATTACTGTTTGCTCTGCAAAATGAATGAATTGCAAAATTGATTAAGTTCACATTTTTCTCATATTTAAAATCTAACTAGTTAATTAAGGCAAGAAGGCCAGAACATATCTTAGCCTACCTTCATTATCCAAGAGAGCAATAAACAAACAAACAAACATGCAAATGCTTATGGAGTAGTTAGGGTGCATCTCCAACCTGGCCAAGAGAATTTTGAGGCAATAATTATAGAAATATTTTACAAAATTATACCCATAGACTCAGAGTTCACTCTAGGACCGGTATCCTAGTATTTGCATTGACATTTCTAAATTTCCCACTTTCCAGCTCTCTCCACTTCCTTATTTGGGCTTTAATCTACATATGCTTGACATGCTATGTCTTCCCACATGGCAGTGCAGATTGAGGAATGAGCACTAGATAAGAATTTAGAACTCCAGCTCTGCCATTTGCCTGGGACATAACATTTGTGAAGGTCCCTTAAGCCACATCAAACCTGTTTCTCTCTCTACAGAGAGAGAGCTTACCTCACTGTCTTGCCTACCTCACAGTTTTGCTAGAACCAACTGTGTTAATGTGTTTGGGACCCGCTTTGTAAACTGTTTAGAGCTAGGTGACTCATTATTGCAAAGTTAAGTTTCTCTAATTCTTAAACATTGGTAGTAAGTTGAGTTACTTCCCATTCTCACCTGAATGAATCTGACCCCGTTTTCTGTTTCCATGGGCAGGGCTGGGCTTTCTCCTGATCCTCTCAATCCTTCAGAAACAGAACCTATTAATTCTCTCCTAATTTTCTGCTGGACATCAGACTAAGACCACATGCCCAGGTTTGGGTGTGATGCCTGAGGGAAACTTTAGTCTACACATTTAGTTATTTAGATTAGGCTAATATTTTTAATCCTCTCTCTTCATTTCTCTACTGGTTGAATTCACAATGCAATTCAACTAAAAAATAGTTACATTCCTTGAGTACAAATAGCAGGATTTTACAGAAGTAGACACACAAGGCATCACTGGCCATTTTGACATATTTTAAGAGGTGAATGTAAAGCCATGTCATTTTCAACAACATAGGCCCAAGTAATCATGTTTTCAACCTGAAGACAAATTTGTGTATTCTAGGTGAGTGTTGCCTTTTTTTCTGACCTCACTAAAACGAATCCATTTTCCCCGTGTCCCTTGCAATGCTACTGCGATGAGCTCTATTACAATAATCTAATTCTGAGAGGGCACTTACGCAATTTAAGTTGCTGTCCTGATTTCTCTTTTCATCTTTGTCACTAACTTCCTTGACACCCCCCAGCCTCTTCCTGTTTTCCATTAAAGACCTGACTTTTAATACATAGCATTCTAGCCTGGGGGAAAAATACCACATGGTCAACCAGAATTCTTTGTCTATCATCTTATGCAATTCCAAGAAATAGTAGTAAAGATACTATGTGATGGAAAAGCATATTTGAATTACTTTTATATTTATTTATTTTTTCCTCACAGAATGCAGGCCAGGCCAATATGGACCTAACTGCGCTCTGACGTGCCAATGTGTCCACAGGGCTCAGTGCAACCCGCTCAATGGGAACTGTACTTGCCCCTCAAAGAGAATGGGCCCAACCTGTGAGGAAAACGTTTTGGATGATCTTCAATAACGGAACACTAGCAGCTTTCAGTGGTGGACAGAATTTCGCCGAGGCTCACCCACAGTTTATCATCTGAACTTTGGCAGGGAAATGCACTTACTCATCCATCTTCAGCCCAACCTCTCCTGTTGTGAGGTGAAAAATGATGTCTCCAATTTATGGCCTCCAAGTAGAAGTTCCATTCTCCAGCCTACCCTTCCCAACTTTCTTTTGCTGAAGAACATGCCCAAGAAAGAGAGACTATTTTTTCAAGATCCCAATCGTAGTAACATTTTGGACTAATAAACGAAACTCTTTTTTATATGCACAGGCGGTATTTAAATTTGGAAGTAAGAAATACCTCTCAGTTCAGCTTGGACTGCACTGAAATATTCACACCTAGTCACTGAAGACCTCAGTGGTCATTAAGTAGCTGGATCCTCTTTAGAAATGTCTAGAATTTCATCTACTTATTCTTAGTATCCTGCTCCACAGCTGAGCCTGCTTCAGGTTGTTAATGTATTGTATTTCGAACATGACTTTTGGTGTGGGAGACTATTAAGGCTTTCGCCACATACAGATCTGGGTAAAGGTATGATGGGCACACTTACAATGAATCGTCAAAATGTTTAGTGGTGTTCTCCTCATCACTGGTCAGCAGACAGGAAAAAGTAAGTAGAAATGATCAAGGTGAGGTGCTTAGCCTGTTCTGGGGGGACACAAATTTCCAATAGAGTAGGGACTTCCTTCATTTCAAGGAAAAAAATAAATAATAAATAAAAACAGTGACTGCCAACAGGGAGAATAAGACAAGAAAACCAGATTTCCTTACTAGAGATCTTGTCTCCTATTACAACACATGAGAAACTCACTCCAGAAAAAAAAGTTTCCAGAAACTTTTCATGGTAGGAAAAAAAAGAGTAAGAGATTTCTTTTGGGTGAAATTTTTTATACCGTATTGCTTAACTTTTTATAAATGAGAAGCCTTATGTAAAATGTTAAGCACAGTTCTTGGCAAAAGGTCAATGGCCCCATATTATCTCTTTTCATCCCCCATGCCACCCCAAACTCTAAAATAAATCATGAGAGTGGGAAAGCAAAGCCATAGCCTAATCCTATATTTGTACTATCACATGACCCATAGACAAATGGAGTTTCACCTTCATCCTTATATCAGTCAATAAGAACTAATGGCAGTTACTGTAGCCACTTTTCTTTATAAAAGTTTTATTTGTTGTCTTTCATATCAAAAAATAAAATACAAAAATGTTTAATATCCAGAATATTTCCATTTTCTGCTTGGTCACCTTGAAAAATCTTGATTTAGATAGCACCCTACAAAAGTTAATAATCATGTGATAAGTTATTCCTTCTAAAAAAATTCTAGTTCTTCAGCTTGAGGACACTATCAGATGTCTGAAAATCATTAGAGGCAATGACATTTCATTCATGGACCAACATACAATAAATGTTCCTCTTAAATAATGTATCAGCTGCAAATTTATCAAATAGAATTTCCTTGCAAAATTATGTAACTAGAATTTTAAAAATCATTTTTAATAGCTGCATCTCAAAAATGCTTCAAATTAAGAATATAGTTCACAGTGACGCCCATTTCTGAGCAAATAAATAATGCATCCTTTTTACTTTCATCAGGATTTATCTGAGCTTTCTACATGTAAACAGTTATTCAGGTAGAGTTAAGTGTAATCTGCCTACCAAAAAAAAAGTAATTTGCACAGAATTTTTAAAAATTCAGCTATTTAAAAGTAAGGCATGATTTAATAGGCATGTCCTCTTTAAACTAAAGTCCAGTGTCAAATTAGAGTCATTGTCATGGGGTAGAAATACTTCATATTACTCCTCCTACTTTCCCTCCTTCTATAATCTGCTCTTTAAATGTAGAAATGCTGACCCCAAAAGAAATCCATCCACCCATAATACCCCTTTAGAAAGGTGCCTATGCTGTGATGTTTCAGGCTCTTTCATTTGAAATACAAGATCAGAGTGGGGATTATTATGCTTTTCTGCAATAATATAGCTCAAGTTTAAAGAAAACTGAGCAGATGTATGGAAGTGTGCTGGCTAATTTGGAGTTTCCATCTAACATGCGTGGGATATACCATTTCAGTTTAACACCTAACGTTCCCCCTACTCTTTCTAACTTCTATGCTCATTTATTGAGTTTTCCAGATGAGACAGCTATTTGACACAGGCTAAATTATTTTTAGAGAACTTGGAAATCATTCCAAGAGTTAGTGGCAAGAATGGCATTTCCTTTGTTAGAAATAGCAAAGAGGGTTTGGCTTCTGCGGGGCCTCTTTCACCTTGGTTTCTTCAGGACCTGGTAATACAGACGTAGCAAGAATTTAAAAAAGCATTTTGATGAAGTGAACAAATAATAGCTACTGTCTGCACTCTAGGAGTTATGTATGCAATTCAGTTGAAATAACTTTTCATGGTTCTATGATAGAAAAAATATCAAAGTAGCTGAGCTTTTAAAATAGATTTCAAGCAATTCCAAAGTTTTGACCCTTTTTAGCTAATCAAGTAGAAACTATTTTCTACTTTTCCTGCTTATATTTTAGTTTTTCAAAATAAAGGAAAATAATACAAAAATTAGTATTTAAAGTCTAGGAAATATATTTAAAGGCGGGAGATACCTCTTTTTATATTCTTGCAAATACTGACATACTCTTTCACTCTAAATCTTTTGTCAGTACTATATAAAACACCATTTAATAATTCTTCATTTTAATGTTTGTGCAAATAGTTCAAATTTTGAAAAAATACTATTTCAAATAGCTAATGTTAACATTTTATTCTTCCACTGGATATGTTAAAGATATATAGAAAATTTCATAATAATGCCTCTACTTAAAAACAATATAAGCGAATCCACAAAACATAATTTTATTGCTCAGACTTCATGAGAAAAGTTCAACAACAGTCCATCAGACAAAAAGATTCATGTGAAGAATTGGATATTAAGTGTTGACAATATTGGTCTCTTGAAATGTAGAGCATTGGTTTGTGAATAAAATTCCATATGTAAGAATTGGATGAATTTGGTAGCTGGTGTTGAACATGTATTTGATGAATAATGAAACTTGTGACTGATTAGGTATCTGAATGGTCAGTTGGTAATATTACAAAGCACTTATTGACTGAAAAATGCCTTCATTAGTGTCACTTTTTAACTATTGCCTAAAAAGCAATTTTCTGTATTTTAACGCTATCCTGAATTTACTAACTCACTCAAAAATATTTATTGAGTGTCGACAATACTAGATATTGTTGGAGGCATAAAAAAAATAGTGGTGAACAAGATGGATGTGTTTCCTGCCCTCATAAACTTACAGTCTAGTAGATGATATTAGCCAATGAGTGCAGAGTTTTTAAACATTCTTAGCCTTTCAGTGAATTTAATAGTTCATCCATCCTTTTATAGTTTATTAATCCTTTCCTAAGTCTATTTCTCACAAATCTATTAATTCTCTTACTTTCAGTCAAACTTTGATAAATGATATATATCCTACATCACCTTAAAAAATCTACATAGCAGGCTTTATACTCTTTAATGCCAATATAGGAAATTAAATATATTTTTAATTTATAAAATACTATTTACATTTATAGAAAACCACATTATTTTTTCCAATGTAAAAGGCAAGTCCACTTTTAAATCTGTTGTTGTAACTCTGAAAGCATGGGGACTGAGGTAATGGAAACAGAGAAAAAAAAGAGTATTTGTCTTTTTTTTTGACAACTATCACATTCTTTTTTGACATCTATTGCTTTCTCTTTTGGTCAAGATCAGTGACTAAGATGAGTGACCAAGATGAGTGTTTCCCACTGATAAAAGAGGGTTTTTTTTAGACATTTTTAAAAATCTAGTTTTATTATAAGGCAAGTAATTCTCTTTTGTGTAAAGAAAACACCTTGCTATTTTAGTGGTGTCTCAAAACAAGATTAGATTATTCCTTTTTAAAAATTATGATAAAACTAGAGTCCCAGTACACGGATTCATACACATTGAAAAGAAATTAATTAGAAGAAATATTTTAATATCACTATTCGCCCTTTCTCTATAATAGAAGTATCAACCAAATTCATGATTGACAATGACAGATGGAAATATGCACACACAATTGGCACCGAGAGCTTTGTATGGATCATGCATGCGTGAGTCAATTTAGCCTTATAGATATAGAATAAACTTGTTTAATTAGACCTGCTTTCTGATTTAGCTAAACTTTTTCCAGCCCAGTGAAGCACCCCAACTTCTCTTTCAGGTATTTGTCAGCAGCACAGCAGTAAATATCAACATGAAGCAGATTATTATTGTAGATCACGCAGGAAGAACAAAGAGTAAAATATTTAACTACAGCAGTGTTTGACTATATTCTGCACAGTGAGAAAACCTGAAGTCATTTTCAAGGTCCACCATTTCTTGCTTTTTTTCATATGGCTCATGTTTCTAAACTTTCTAAACCTCCATTTTCTGGCTAATGAAAAGAAATAGGATTCTACGGAATCTCCTATCTACCTACTCCAGGACTTCTGTGAGGATCAAATGAGATGAGGCACTGGAAAATGCTTCACAGACATTTGGTTCAAGTGTAAAATGTTTGCACCCAGCTATAAAGTAAGTCGTGTTCCTGGGCTGAAGAAACTCCAAATAGGTTAGTCACTAGGGAAAGGAAGCTGGGTGTTGCTACGTGACATCATTACCTGGTGCCTACAGCCACCATTTCCCCTGGCTGGGCTGTGGGTCACATTTTGCACCATGGGGTATTGGCAGCATTGGCTGTGATTTGGTGGGCTGTCACTCTGGGGTGGTGGCGGGGCCTGTGTCCCACTTGGGGGAAGCCAACTATTGTTTTGTTGGCACCAGGTCCATGTTGCCTTTTCTTTGTAAATGGCCAGTGCATATCACAGCAGCTCCTGCGTTGAATGTCTGCCCCCTGGTGGTCAGTGTGCATCATAGCAAATGGTCAGACAGTTGGAGGGACACTTAGCATATTAGCCTTTTATATATATAGATATACATAACATAAAACTTACCATCTTAACTATTTTTTAAATACACAGTTC